GACCTGCTGAGTACTAACAAAAGACCCAAAGACTGTTCGCGGACTAATCTAATTTTGACACATGCGGCCTCAGCTCCAAATGTGAACCATATCTTAAAGAAGCATTTCAACATATTAATACAGAGCGAGCGGCTCAAAGGAATCTTTACAGAACAACCACGCGTGGTCTACCGGCGGTCGCGGAACCTTCGTGATTTACTAACCTCATCTAAACCACGTGTTCACATCATGAAGGCTGTCATCCCTGCAACAAACCACGTTGCAAAGTGTGCGCGCACATGACGACATCTAAAAGAGTTTTAAGTACATCGTCCAGTTTTTCTTTAGAGATAAATGGGAAACTACACGTGTGATAGTATAAACGTCATCTATCTTCTCGAGTGTTCAACATGCGGAGCTCAGTACATAGGTCAAACAGAGACAAGTTTCAGAATTCGTTTTAATAATCACGGTGCACATGCCGTAAGCCTCCCTAATCTACCGCTGTCGAAGCACGTCAGTATGCCTGGCCATGGTTTCGACAAAATTAGGGCCACTATTATTCAGTCCGGTTTCAAGACAAATCACGATAGGGAAGTGAAGGAATCCTTCTTGATCCATAAATTTAACACCATTCGTTCAGGTATCAATGAAAACGTAGGAAAGCTCACCTGCCTCGCACTATACCAACACGACTTCTTAGATTAGTAAAATATTTTAGTGTATATTAGAATGTATATTAGTCAACCATGGTTTCTTTACTTCAGAGCTCTTTTGCATGTCCTGCCAACCATACTGTGCCCCGCGTGCCGATGCGCAAGGAAATTTGAGACTTGTATATTCATGCACCCGTCACATGTCAGTCATGTCAACACAAGGTTCTCACAGATTACCATTTTTTTACTTTGATTGTCCTAGCTGCTATACCGAGAGTTCATCACGTGAGCCTATAAAAGCGGCTGCATTGTATCATACCAACTTACTCTGACGAAGGCCGTGCCACGGCCGAAACGTTAGTAAATACGCTCCTTTTCTTATGTGCTATCTGCAAGTTAATTCAATATAGAAAATACCCGGACCTGTCGTGCCTTCCCTTCAAGTTCTATATATATATATAATATATATATATATATATATATATATATATATATATATATATATATATATATATATATATATATATATATATATATATATATATATATATAGGTATGGGATATGGCACAACGGGAGCGTTGTCAACAAGGGTAAATATATTTATTTCCGAACAGTTTCGGGAGTGGACCTCCCTTCATCAGGGGATGAGTTATATATATATATATATATATATATATATATATATATATATATATATATATATATATATATATATATATATATATATATATATATATATATATATATCATCATTAGCCTGACCACGTCTACTGCAGGACAAAGGCCTCTCGCATGTTCCGCCAGTTAACCCGGTCCTGTGCTTGCTGCTGCCAATTTATACCCGCAAACTTCTTAATCTCATCTGCCCACCTAACCTTCTGTCTCCCCCTAACCCGCTTCCCTTTTCTAGGAATCCAGTTTGTTACCCTTAATGACCAGCGGTTATCCTGTCTACGCGCTACGTGCCCGGCCCATGTCCATTTCCTCTTCTTTATTTCAACTATGATATCCTTAACCCCCGTTTGTCCCCTAATGCACTCTCTCTCTTCTTGTCTCTTAAGGTTACACCTACCATTTTTCTTTCCATTGCTCGCTGCGTTGTCCTCAATTTAAGCTGAACCCTCTTTGTAAGTCTCCAGGTTTATGCTCCGTAGCTAAGTACCGGCAAGATACAGCTGTTATATACCTTCCTCTTGAGGGATAGTGGCAATCTACCTGTCATAATTTGAGAGTGCTTGCCGAATGTGCTCCACCCCATTCTTATTCTTCTAGTTACTTCAATCTCGTGGTTAGGCTCAGCGGTTATTACCTGCCCTAAGTATATATATATATATATATATATATATATATATATATATATATATATATATATATATATATATATATATATATATATATATATATATATTGAAATAACTTGAAGATAGCACATAAGAAAAGGATCGTATTTACTAACGTTTCGGCCGTGGCACGGCCTTCGTCAGAGTAATATATATATATATTATATATATATATATATATATATATATATATATATATATATATATATTATATAATATATATATATATATATATATATATATATATATATATATATATATATATATATATATATATACACGAAAGTGTTATCAGTATACGGTGAAAGAGTGATTGAATACAGAGGTACCAAAATATGGAATCTTTTACTCCAAGAGGTTAATATACCACACGTCACCTCAAGCAGTGTACTAAACAATATTTTTTTTCTTGAAAATCAGGATCTCTAGCGTACCTACATTTACCAATAAAGTGTACTTTACGAAGGTCTTTGTTGATTATAAATTATAATATGTAATAGAATACCGTGTTGTTGAATTCTGAATCTGGCCTCTCTGTTTTTTTGTTTTTTTTATCAATGGACCGAATACTAACCTTGCCTGGTTATCAATGCAAATATTTGCATATGTACGACTGTGCGAGAAAAAACAAAGCACTTCAAATAAAACTAGAACAAAAGGGCTATATGCATGTAGGGATGTGAATGACACTTCTTTTTTCTCTACTCATTATAGTTAAACGGCACGAAAAACTGGCGCCACACAGAGAACGCGACAAGCGTACATTGACACTAGTATACAACAGCGACAACACCTGCGCATGATGTATTCTCTCTAGGCTACGATGGATGCAACATATTCCTAATATTTTTGTCCTTGTCTCCGTTAAAATTGCGACGTTATCACTATAGGAGAAAAAAAACGCTCCTCGACAGACAACAACAACACACAACGACAACAACAACAACAACAACAACAATAATAATAATAATAATAATAATAATAATAATAATAATAATAATAATAATAATAATAATAATAATAATAATAATAATAATAATAATAATAATAATTTGTAGTCTTCAACGGCCCGAAACCACCATATGATTATGAGAGACACCGAAGTGGAGGGCTCCAGAAATATCAACCAGTTGGGGTTCTTTAACGTACACCCAAATCTGAGCGCACGGGCCAACGGCATTTTCGCCTCCACCGAAAATGCAGGCACACCGCAGCTCTTCAACAAACGAGCGAGGGGGTATTTATAGAGTTGGTTCCATTCACGCATTAAAAATAAACACGGTTTTGAAACAGCGCAAAGGCGAAAGACAGAGGGGGAAAAATTGCGATTAAATCATTATTGATGAATTTGGAGAGTTACAATTTCTCCGCACAAACTTAAGGCACTACTGCCACAGAAAAAAAAATCAACTCCAGCTCTTGTCGAATGGGTGCTATTGTGCTGCAGTTAGTAGCAGTAGTAGTAGTAAATGGTTCGTGATAAAAAGGGGAGTGACACCTAATTTCTGTCTGCCTAATTGATGACACGGCCCAGTGCATTGTAGGGGATGGAAGAAGGGGATAAAAGAATAGTATAAATGTAAATAGGAGAGGGCACTCGCCATACAGCGACAGAAAGAGCAGAGAAGATATACGAAAGATGGGAGACACGATCGAAGGCGTCCGAGGACGGTGCGCCGATCGGCGAGAGCTACGTTGACGTCGGAGATCGCCGACGGCACAACAGTTCAGCTCGAAATCCATCGAGCGAACCAGATGAGGTGGAGCCGAGCCCCTCAGAAGATAGAATAGGGGCCACCCCATCTCACCACCCCCTCCCTGATTTGAAGCCCTGCGTGCACAGTTTCCGCGGTTTCTGCAAGTCTTCAGAGACGCACGCTGAATAACAAAAAAGATAAAAAAACGGGCGTCATGCCATGCTTCAACTGACTGCAATTGGATTACTTTGCAATTGAATTACGCATTTGAATTTTTTGGGCAGTCGTTGTACGCTAGCGAGAACTGCCAGAATTTCCTCGCTCATTCTTTTCGCTCCCATTTTGCTCCTTTACCGCTTGGTCTCAAGTAAAAGTTATTTCATTTGTTTGCATATCTGTTTGGTTTATACTCTTTGTATATTATTATGCTGTTTTCATGTATTGTTTCTGTATTGTAAACTGTCCCACCCTGTAACAGCTCGATGGGGCTCACAGCATTGAAAGTTACGTCGAACAATAAATAAATAAATAAAAATTCGAACAAACTTACAGCTTTTCTATCGCAATAAAGTAGCAATGGTATGGAGCCACCATAGCAATGGCTCGCACTGACGCCATCTTAGCCGCCATGTTGGAGGATTGGTAGTGTCGGAAAGTTGTATTCATTGTGGTCGGGCGTGGTGGTTCTTCCATTTCAAAGATCGCTAAGTCACCCAGAGTTCAAGCTTTGGTTGTGGTATTGCAGTTGTGCACAAGTCTTCAAAAGCCCGCAGCCGCAAGTACTTTTAGAAGCGGTGCCATAGTAGACGAATAACACGCGTTTGGTCATTCGTAAAACGCTTTCGCTCTTTCCTTCTCTACGCTACGTTAATTGGCTCGTCTCTCCTCCTCGCCGAGCGAGGAGGGGAGCAGTGAGCGCGCATACCTGCGAGCAGACAAACAGATCCGTTTTGCGAATGGCTTGACCAGACGTGGATATTGACGTCACAGCTATCACTGGGGATACCTAGAGACCCGAAGATATCAAGGAATTGTGTCTTGAAATTTGTGGCGCGTGCGCGGCTCAGAGCACTGCCGAGTTTGGCATTGTTGATCATGGCGTCCTTTTGAACTCAATGCGCGCGTTTACTTCGAAGTCCTGAAAAATTATGGGACGTTGTTTAGAAGCCCTAAGTTCTCACACACACGCTAGAAGTGTTCTGATTGCCTCACGGTGACAGTGACGCGGCAACACTACGCATTGAAGCTATCATGTTGTAGCAGTACGAAGGGACGTTGCACGTCTTACATCACGTAGACAAGACATCTTAACTCCTCCCAGGTGGTTGTCATGGACATGTTCGCGGGCAAGACGCTGATACGAGCAGACGGCAGCGAGCACCCTGCCGAGGAGGCGCTCTGCGACGTCAAAGTGGTGGCCCTGTACTTCTCAGCCCACTGGTGCCCGCCGTGTCGCCACTTCACGCCCATCCTGGCCGACGCGTACGCTGAGGCAAAGCAGGCGCTCCCTTGCGGAGCCGAGGTCGTCTTCGTCTCCCTAGACCACTCCGAGGAGGACATGGTGAAGTACATGGACGAGTGCCACGGAAACTGGTACGCCATCAAGTACGAGGATCCCTGGCGAGAGTGAGTATATGAAGGGGCAGATAGATTAATAGGACCGTACGCAGTGAAGCAGTTAGGGAGATGACCTCATAAGTCGATTCGTAAACGCACTACATTCCGAACGGAATGGCAACAAATAGTCACTACATAGCTTACTCGACCACCCGTCAATCTGACTTCTTTAAAGTGCGCTCCGAAGAAACCAATAACTGTTCGAGAGCAATGCTACCGAGCCATGCGGCCCGCAGCCTGGTTATGTCTCAAGCCTTCCAGCATCAAAACACGCCAACTCCAGTGCTATCGCTAGAAGAAAGTACGCCATGAATTCCAGGAATAAGACACCAGAAATGAAGCGTTAATGCGGGTAGAAAACGAGTAATTTGGAAGCACTGGAACTATTGAACTATAAATTTATATTTGTACAACTACACACACACACACACGCACACGCACACACTATTCTTTCTATCTATTGACGTGCTACAGCTTGTTATGCCCACGCAACCTCCACTCTGCCGTGTATAGTCTGGCTGCGCCCGATCGTGTCAGTCATAAGCCGTCATAAGAAAGTGCGTACTAGACTTGTCTGTCGACGGGGAGTTTCAAGTACGAGCAGCGATGGGCCAGTGCGTCGCAGTGCCAAGCTTTGCGCGACTTAAGTGCAAACTATACCCGCATTTTTGTATATATATTTTTCCTTCTCCCTCCCCTTTCTTCTTAACAAATAAAATCAAGGGAGCTGGCGAGGAAGTACGTCACAGGAATTCCCACCCTCATCGTTTTCAAGATGGACGGCACGGTGATCAGTTCCTGCGGACGCGAAGAGGTTCAAGACCAGGGACCGGAAGTCTTCCGCCGGGTGGGCCGATCAGGCGTAGGCTTATCGCGGTTGATCGCCCGTAGCTTGCCGTTGTTTTGCTGGCTCGATCTACAGCCCTACGCATTCTATAGCCTGCCGAATAATCAATCAATCAACTATATTTCGTGTAATGCGAATATTCGAATGCTTACGAACATCAAATATGATACTACGCAATTCTATATTCGAAAACTAATCGATTTTCGAACGGCATTCGATTCGATCCTAGCGCTTTTCGATTCATACTGAACTGGGTCTAAAAAGTGATTCGCACGCCGCTATCGTTCAACCATCAGTTGACGCTGATGCTGATGACCTCAGATGGATGGCGCTCACCCACAGAGCGGGATGGGCCAAGAACTGGGCGGCAGGATACTTAAACGAAACTAAATGGAAATAAAGCCAATCTGAAAAATTAGAGATAAAATTGCGAATAAACAAAAATGGTTGCTGAGCAAGCGATCAAACCATCTCTTGTTCCTGACAGACATAGCTACGAATTATAAACTAAAAATCTGAAAAGGTTAAGGTTCACAAGCACGGTTATGTTTTAGTTGCATTGATGTAGTCAAACACAGTGGAGCATTTATCCCTAGTTGTAGCAGTAACCAAATGAAGTGGCGCCAAGTGATGAAATTACTAATAGATTTACTTGTATTTCTAACTTTTGTAATAGGGCTTCTAAACATATTTTTTTCTGATAAGAGTGACGACGACAAAATAAAAAGAAATGTTCAATTGTTTCAATTTCGTTGCAAAAAAATGCACAGCGGTGACGCCTTGAGTCGAGCTTTCTTAAGGTCATAATTAAGTTGTGGAACTGTACAGCGCAATCTGGTATAATTGACTTGGATTGGATTGGATAAACTTTTATTATTGGATAAACTTTTATTTGGTATAATTGACTTCTAACTGGCGAAATACACACCACTGTTTATTCCAGCAATACCTTATATGCTCGAAATCTTTAAATTTATTAAAATTACCTATTCCGCATCGCAAACAAGCATTTCGGAACCTTAGCGCTGTCACGTAAGCTGTATTTGGCAAAACTGGGATGATGGGCCCAATCAGAGATACTCCTGCGTAAGAGTCCGCCATTTCGTTCAAATATAATTCGCGGTGGCCTGGTACCCACAGCAAATGTCATTTTTTTTACGTTTTTCGGTATTAAATGAAGAAACGTGTTGATCGGCGCTGAATTTGCTGCCGCAGAAAGTGCATTAGATACTGACATTGAATTTGTAATGATCCCTGCTGATGATTCGCTTGAGGACAATTTGCGTAGGGCAAGAACAATATCCAATAATTCTGCAATGAATACAGGGGTATAGTCTGCGAGTCAAATCGAAAAAGACAAGTCAAAAGAAGAAGAGATGTCAGTCCCAGCTTTTTTTTTTTTTTCACACAGATGCATCAGTCGCAATGATATTGCTTATCTCCAAGTGAGGTAGATAATCTGCTAACTGGTCTTTTAAGTACCCCTGTGCCAATAGTTTTGCCTTATGAGGAAATACATCATCAAATTGTATGCTGAGCATAGACTTCAGGTTGTCTATTGCGGCAACATGTTTAATTTTTACATTCAGTTGCTGTAGCATCGCTTGTGCAAATATGATTTGCGGAGTGTGTTGTCGCGACCAATGTGTTTCGAAGAATAAAGTTGGTTCTTGAATGAAAACGGAAAATGAGTGTCTTTGGTGTGAACTGTACATCTTTAAGAATGCTTGCACAGTAAGAATTTTAAACCTATTTAGCAGAGAAGGTAGGCGAGCTTCCATATGCAGCACGTTGTTTGCAACTAACTTTGGGACACCCAAACACAAACGCAACGCTTCTCTTTCCAGCAGTATTAGAGGTCTCGTTTTATAAGCTGCACTGCCAGAAAACAATACACATCCAAATTTCATGATTGGCCGCACATAAAGTTTATGTATTATTATTAGCGCATATCTTCTTAAACCCGCTCTACGGTTTGCGAGCTTCCGTAGCCACCCCATGGCACGTGTTGCCTTGGAGTACACATCATCAATGTGGCTTCTCCAATTTAATGTATCATTATATAGGATGCCCAAATATTCAAGGAAATTCGCCCACGGAATGAGCTAACTACTATACATTAACGAGATGTTGATAGGCTGCAAAAAAGAGAATGCAAGAAGCGCCCTTTTCAGTACGTTCAGCGTCATATGAATGTTTTTGAGCCACCCTTCTATCGTATTGCGATAATCTTGGAGACTCTGGTATAGGGATTGAAGATCGGTATTACTTGCAAAGAAAGCAATATCGTCCGCGTACACATATAACTGAATATCCTTAGTTGATGGAATGGAGCTTAAGAAAATATTAAATAAAACTGGCGACAAGACAGCCCCCTGTGATACGCCACGTGTCTGCTTATATCTATTCGACGAGTACCCATCTTTAGAGCAGTAATATTCTCTCCCTCTTAAAAACTCCGACACCCACGCAGTGATGTAGTTGGGAAAGTGGTGATATTCCATCTGTTTTAATAAAACTGAATGCTCAACCCTATCGTACGCTTTAGCCATATCAAGAGTAACTAATGCACAGTATTGGCGCCGACGCCGAGCCAGTTGTATTCGGCTCTCTAAATCAACATGCGCACACCATATTGAGCAACCAGATCTAAAACAAATTTGACTGGGGTTTATGATTGCGTTATTATTAATATATTTTATTACCCGGGCATTCAAAACTCTTTCAATTAGCTTAACCAGATTAGACGTGAGTGATATCGGCCTTATATTGTCTAGGGCAAATCCTGTTTCTTGCTTTTTAAGAAGTGGAATCAATTTAGACAGCTTCCATTCCGCGGGTATCCAAGCTTTCGTCAAAGAAAAATTCACCAGATTAAGTACTTTAGTTGGAGAAATCTCGAATATTACTTTTACCATTGCATTGGCCACCCCGTTTGGTCCAGCTAGGTGCTGAAGAAGATAAGCGCCTTATTATCCCTGCCAGCTCGTCTAAAGTAACATCCTCGAAATCCTCACCCGCCATTGGGTTGACAATTTGCAGTCGTATAGTTGACATAAATCTATCTTGGAGCCCTTTCGCAATATTTTCTACTAAATCAGAGAGTTCACGGGGAGAAAGAACGGAAGAGTCAATATTTTCAGCACGTGGTAATATCTTTTGAGAATTTAAAAATCTAAAGAGCACTCTAGACAAAGAATTCATCGAAGCGGATATCCGTGCCACCCTACAAAAACTTAACACAAAATCTTCACCAGGCCCGGATAACATCACGAATAAGATGATACGCAATTTGGACGATGAGTCGATCACGCATATCACAGACTATATTAATAACTGCTGGAACACCGGAATCTTGCCCCCGCATTGGAAAACGGCCAAGGTGATTCTGATTCCGAAACCAGGCAAACCACTGAATACTGACAATCTTAGGCCCATCTCCTTAACATCTTGTATAGGCAAATTGATGGAACACGCTTTCCTGGCTAGACTGACAAATTACCTCGAAGACAATGATTTTTTCCCACACACCATGATTACGGGATGCTCCACAGTACGGGACGCTCCACTAAGGCCATACTTGGTCTTGATCTGAAGAAGGCTTTTGACTCTGTCACGCATAGCACCATTCTAAATCAGGTCAATAACCTAAACTTGGGGCTTCGCACGTACAACTATATTAGGGCATTTCTTACGGGCAGAACGGCCACGATCACTATGGGAGCACTCAGGTCGTCCGAAATAACCATAGGAAGTGCGGGCACCCCGCAGGATTCCGTGATATCTCCCATGTTGTTTAACCTCACCCTCATTGGTCTTCCTTCAAAACTTCAAACCATCCAAGGCCTTCATCACACCATTTACACCGACGGCATCACCCTCTGGGTGTGTGACGGCAGTGACGGTTCCATTGAACAGAGATTACAGGAGGGGATTGACACAGTCGAACGGTATTTACAAGGAACTGGACTATCCTGCTCGGCGGAGAAATCTGAGCTACTGCTATATCACCCTACACTTAGAGGTCGGCCACCCAAACAACATCCCCAAGCGCAGGCACACGCTGATATAAAACTCACTACAAGCGATGGTCACGCCATACCAACCGTGGACAAAATCAGAGTGCTAGGTTTGATCATAGAAAGTAAGGGTACCAACGGAGAGACAGTTCGCTACATTGAAGCCAGAGTGTCTAACACGATGCGCCTCATTAGGCGCATTACCAATAAACACAAATGCATGAAAGAGGCCAGCATCATCCGTTCGATCCAAGCGTTTGTTCTAACTCACATCACCTATACGGCGGCGTACCACCGATGGTCCACCGCGGAAAAGTCAAAACTCAACAGCCTAATTAGGAAAATTTACAAACAAGCGCTAGGTTTGCCTCAAAACACCAGCACCGAACTACTCCTTCAACTTGGTTTACACAATACCCTTGAGGAACTTATTGAGGCGCAACAAATCTCCCAATTCGAGAGTTTAGCCAAGACTAAGCCAGGCCGCCAGATTCTATGTAATCTCGGTATTACTTACCACACTCAACACGGAGACAAACACGACATACCACGCACTATCCGTGCTAAGCTAACAGTACCACCCATACCAAGAAACATGCATCCTGAACACAACAAGGGCAGACGTGTCAGTAGAGCCAGGACCATGTCAAAGATGTTTGGGCGCAACCATGAGGCAGTCTTTGTCGACGCAGCACGCTACCAGGAACGTCACCTCTTCGTGGCTGCTGTCGCAGACCACACACAACAATGCAAAAGCGGCGCGTCAATCATCACACGGAACGTAGAAACGGCAGAGGAAGTGGCTATCGCGATGGCCATAGCCCACACTAACGCCTCATGCGTAATCAACGACTCGCAGACAGCCGTTTGAAACTACGCCAGCGGCAGAATCTCCCCCGAGGCATTGCGGATTCTTAATACAGGCAAAATTCACGAGGCGGACAAATACGTACACATCTTGTGGTTCCCTGCCCACACACCACTAGGTAACGCGGAGGTCAATCCAAATGAAGTGGCGCACAACGTGGCTCGAGGTCTTACGTTCCGAGTCACGTCAGACGAAGCGGCCACCCAAACGGACCATTCTGCGCCGGTGTGGGAATGGGACGATCGGCTCACTAAATTTAATGACATAATTCAACACTATCGACTGCAAAGGCGGGAGTACCCTCCGCCTCACTCCGAGCTAAATCGGGCCCAGTCCGTTCAGTGGTGACAGCTACAAACAAGCACATACACGAACCCTGTCATCATGCACCACATATATCCTGACGTCTATAGTTCTAATCTATGCCAGTACTGTACCACCAGAGCCACTCTCGACCATATCCTATGGGAATGTCCGGCATTAGTCAGAAATTCTGGGGTCGCGGCCTCCAATGAAAACCTTCGGGCGCGTTGGCGGACTGCGCTGCTCAGTTCGAGCCTGGACAAACAACTTTGGGCGATCCAGCAGGCCAAGGAAGCTGCCGGGAGACACGGTCTCTCCGTTGGCCCCTAGGTGGGAGCCCATCCCAGCAATCTGCCGGAAATTAATAAAGTCTATCTCTCTCTCTCTCTCTCTTTTTTATTTTCAGCCCTATAGACAGATAATCAAATCGTTTCATATTATAGCCATATTTTGCTGTACTTGTGCATTTGAAGTATGCTGCTGGAAATTTATAATCACACCAATTTTTGGACATTGATTGACCAGCAGTTGTTTTCATGCAGCTTTACGTTTTCTATAGCTCCTAACGCACTCTTCAGTCCACCATGGACTAAAAGAACCTCTTGTGGCCGAGTTTAATTTAAACGTTGCGGCTTTCACTGATCTTTTTAACACTGCACACAGACCCATAGCCCTTAACTCATCTTGAATGTCCTCGCGGCGAATAAAAGTAGCTTTCATGTCTTTTTATAATTTTTTTTATAGTTGAGAAATGAGACGACTTTTTCGGCGACAAGTATTCTCAGAATGTTAAGGACAAATCTAATGGGCAAGCGGTCACTGTTAGTAGCACAGTCTAAAGTTCGCCACGAACATATATCTAGAGATGAGCTTGAAAATGTCAATTCTATTACAGATCTAGAGAGAACTCAGACAAAAGCAGCAGCGTTGTTATGCCAGCGAGTCCTCGTCAAACGTCCGTGCCTCTGAAAAAGGCAATCTGGGTCAAGGCCAGCCCGCAGTCCGCCTGGCGCGATCAACTCGACGGAGTGAACACGCGCGGCGCCTCCCTGGCCCACGTGCATTGAGTCAGTTGCGCACGTGACAGCGAGCCGGCGTCCTCGTGTCTGGTGGTCTGACGCATGGCGCGGCGACCCCCATTGGAGGAATCTGCCCTGACGACCAGCGGCGCTTCTGATTGGACATTATGGTTGGACCCGGTGCAAATAAAAGAAGCCCTGCGGCGTGTCGCGATCAGCGGTCTTAGGCGAAAAGCTGACCTATGTGTTAGAGAGGAGCGCTCGGCTCTTCGAGTCTCTGTCGGCCCCAGTGCCGAACTTGTAACGCCTCTGTATATATGCTGTACATAAACCTTGTTTAACTCACCGTCGTCTCGTCCGCTCGTCTTATCAGCTCTGCGCAGAAGCAGTCGCGAGCTGATAAACATACGCTACCAAACGGCTGGTGACCTTCCCGGCGGAGTTGGAAGCAGTGGCGCCTTCGGG